TTTGAGAGCTATGAGAATGCTGTTCTATGGTACCGCGCGGGACTGAAGGAAAACGAGAGGAACCTCACCGTAGCTCGCCTGTGGAATGCGCTACGAGGCGCGGCCACGGAGGCAGTGAAGGTCATGAGGCTGAACGACTTCGTGTCAGGAGGTGTGGAAGCGTTGCTCAAGCATCTGAGCCGCTCGGCAAGATGCCGATCCCGGACGCGTACCAGAAGATCCGCAACTACGACCAGGTGATTCGCAAGCCCGGTGAGGTGATTAGCGAGTTTGTCATCAGAGAAGACAACCTGTTCAGGGACATGCGTTCGGCCTTGAAGCGACTTCGCTCAGACCGATTGCGACGAGAATCGGCTCAGGCGACGACGAGAACCGGGCGACCAGCTACATCAACGGTCAAGGAGTCGCCGACCGAGGAGTTCGAAGAAGCCGAGGAGGTCGAGGAAGACGCCGAGGCCGTGGACGCGACCGAGAAGAAGTCTGTGGTGTCGGCCCAATCTGGGGCTTCGATCGTCAAGTCGGAGACCGACGCGAGCTTCTTCGAGGCAGAACTTCGAGGGCACAGGCTTTTACACAACGCGCGCCTGAGCAGGGAAGAGCGCCAGATGATTCTGGCAGGCACTCAGAACGACGCCCGATACGAGTCCATCGTCACGCAGCTTCGCGCGTCGTGGGATGACCGAGACCTCCGAGACCGTGGTAAACCAGCTCAGCAGCAGGGTCGTGGTTTCCGAGGCAGAGCTTTCGCTTTCGAGAGCGCGGAGGAGATGGACGACGTATGTGCGGCAATCCGCGGTGAAGAGTCATCGTGGACAACCGACTGGAGCTACGACGAGAACGAAGACGTCTGGTGGTGTGCTTTCTATGCGGACGATGTGGATCAGACTACATGGGCTACGAGCTCGTGGGATTGGTCCAACAACGATGCCGGATGGAATTCCTCGCCAGACCAGCGGGGCTAGGCAACAGCAGCGACCTGGACACCGGATTCAACTACGTATGCGACTGACGACTCGTGCCTGGACGAGCAGGTGAATGCGGCCGAGATCCTCGCCGCCGAAGCTAATCGGACGCTGTCCGAGGCCAGGGGCGCTGCGGCAGAGGCGCGCAAGACCAGGGGGTTCTTTCCGCAGAAGGGCTCCGGCAAGGATGGCAAGAAGGGCGGCTACCAGGTGAAGGGATCATCGGCAGGATCTCAAGGACGTGGATGCCTGATCTGTGGTCGGCCGGGCCACAACTGGAGGCAGTGTCCAGACCGCTACTCCAACAAGGGCAAGAGCTTCGCGAAGGGCGGCTTCGGGTCCAAGGGCAAGGGCAAGAAGGGCAAGGTGCATTACATCGGAGGCATCTTTTGAATGGACATGATCCTTTCCCTCTCGTGCCCATCGTCTACGGAGATTGTCCTCGACTGCGGAGCTACGACGACAGCTGGAGGCGGCGACGCAGTCGAGAAGTTGGTTTCGGCTGTCACCGAGAAGTTCCCGGGCGCGAAGATCGAGGTGGACGCGTCCGATAGGCCCTGGTTCAAGTTCGCGAACGGCCAGTGGGGCCAGGCGCTGTCCAAGGTGTGGCTCTTTGCGCCCATCGGCTGGCTGGGCATCTACTTGCTGGACGCCGATGAGGTGCCGGTGCTCGCGGGGGTAGACTGGCTGGATCAGCATGACGTCTCCTTCCGCAGAAGCGCGCTGGAGATCTACCTCAGCGACGACAAGACCACGAAGGTCCAGCTCCGGAAGGGCATGGGCGGCCACCGCTTGCTGGACGTCCTGAGTTCGGCCGGCAGCTAGGGACAGCGCACCGGAGTTCCGCGCTCCCCGGGACTTACAGGTGACCAGAGAAAAGAGGGAGTACAGCATCAGGGCATCGGCGTGGGTGGTCTGATGATATGCGCACGATTACAGTTGCAGGGTGCGATCCGACCGGTTGCGGACCTGGCCGAAGAGTGTGAGCTCGAAGGGTCGGATCGGGAAATGGGTTGCACTCTACCATACCACGAGATTAATATGGTAAACCATGTGACGGGATACAGTCCAGAGCCCGATGAATCAGAACTTGGCAGATATGTTCGGGAAGACTGGTTTTCGAGAGTATTCAGAACCTTCGAACGTCCTGATGATGCTCGACGGTTTGGAATGTGCTGGCGTAGGACGACGTGTTTGCACAGTTCGGTGATTATCGACGACGGTCCTGTGACGATTGCAACCCCTGGGAGTTGGCTTTATCGCCCATTACCAGACGGGGTCAGTGCGATTCGTGCCGAAATCTGGTTTCGTCCAACGCCGACTGCACCATTGGCATGTCGGCTCCAAGGTATTCGAGATCAGCTCAGTGCTTTTCAATTTTCCATGCATCGACCTGATGGGCGACAAGAGGCTCTACCCCGACCTACTATGCGCGGCGGCAGAGCAGACGGACTGGTCTCTGAGCAAGGGGGCCGATCCGAAGGATCCTCGCATGACCAGCTGGCCGTGCCAGGGGACTCATACCGTGTCGAGCTACACCAACAACCGCTTCGGAGTGTGGCTGACGTGCGAGAGGTGCGCCTTCAGGCTGGGCTACGCTCCGAAGAAGGGGTGCAGCGGCAAGTACCGCAAGGAGCCGAAGACGGCCCTGTTGACGGTGGCTCGTCGCCGGCTCCAGGAATCGGGAGACACCCCGACGGCCGCGAGGGTCGAGGCGCACGTGAAGGCCATCGAGGCGGAGCGCGCCATCGAGACAGGGCACTACATCAAGAGCGCCCCGGACAAGGAGGGCTACTGGACAGCCCGCAAGTCCAAGACCGAGGGCGTCAATGTCGAGATCAAGACCGATCCAGGTGGGCCATCGGCGGCAACCAGACCGTCGACTGGAGTGCCGACCGCGGTGCGCACCGTGCGCGCGGTCGGAGCGGGCCCAAGTTCTGCGGCATCGGATTCAACACCCCGCAGCAGCACGTGGGATGTGGTCTCGAGTGCCGCGGCGGACCTGGACGAGACGCCAACGTTCACGACCAAGCAGAGGGACCTCCTCATCAAGTGGGCAGTCTTGGCCCGGGGAGTCAGGCGCCTGAAGGTGAAGCCAGAGGTGAAGCAGGAGGACTTCGTAGCGATACCGGTGCCGGGGGACATGGGCATGTGCTCATGAAGTGAAGCAAGTTTCGATCAAGCAGCGCCGCGCGATCCAGAGTGGCATGGCGGCACTGGGTGTGCTCGTGAACGGGCTGATGCTGGGCCTCGTGCAGACAGGTTCGGCAATGCGAGTGGACTTAGCCGAAGTCGCGTGTTCTCCAACTCCGAGGTTAACAGCAGGACTGATCCATGAGGGTTTCAAGTGCCAGCGCATCAACCTGGAGCAGCGCTACGACCTCCACAAGAAGGACGACGCTCGTCGTGCCAAGGAGTGGTTCAATACGACGTGCCTTCGCAAGGCGTGGTTTTCGACGCCATGTGCCTACTTCTCGTTGAAGCAGAACCGTACCCCTGAACACAAACGACGACCTGGCAATTGGGAGAATTTCCTACGATCGCGATTTCGGGCTCGCTCTATGAATGGGCACTGCGTGGATATGGCCTTGGAAACTCTACGACACGATGGTGATATCTACTGGGAGTGGCCGGGCAAGTGCAGCGGCTGGTCTACACCGGAGCTCAACCGGTTCAGGCGCGAGGCGGAGAAGATCATCGGACGACCTCTCCGCATGGTCAGGGTCGACGCGTGCCAGGTCGGCATGCGCGACGATCATGGCGCGCTCAGGAGCAAGTCTTGGGGCATCCTCACCAGCGACGAGAATTTCACGCAGTGGGTGGCACTACGCTGCACGAAAGACCATCCTCGCAGCACGCTCGAGGGGCACGACGCCGTGGCGGCGTCGGCCTACTATCCGGATCCGATGATTCGGAGATTGGTCAAGGGTTTCGCCAAGGACCTGCGCGGTCAGGATTTCGCGGAGGACTTCTGGGCGATGAGCGCGCTGCAGGACTACGAGGGGCAGTTGTGCGGCATCGAGTCGGGCATAGACAAGCATTTCAAGAAGACGCCGGAGGACAACGTCACGCTCGACAAGGTCAAGACCTGGTTGATGGACCTCCACATTCTTGGTGGACATAAGTCCAAAACCAACATGAATGCGATGCTCCAGACACGCGGGCGCCCAAGTTGGCAGCAGGCGCTCGTGGACGAGCTGATCTGCGATGCCTGCGCCGAGACCCAGGACACGCAGCACCAGGCCGTGGTGTCACTCTCTATGCCACCAAAGCTGTGGCAGACGGTGAAGCCGGACTGCTTCGAGCTGGAGGTGCACCACAGGCAGCTGTTCGCGGTGCTCTACATGAACGCGCCCTGCAAGTTGGCAGTTCGCAACGTCTTCAAGGAGGTGGATACCAAGGGCAAGAAGGCGTACTTCGAGCCGTCTGGCGCCCAGGTGTTGTCGGCGTTCCTGGAGGATTGGTGGCAGCGCAAGCCGCGGTGCCAGTTCTTGATCCCGGACCCGGGCGGCGGCTTCGTGAGCAACCAGTTGCGCGAGTGGTGCGGCAAGAACGCCGTGGGCATCATCCAGAGCCCGGGCGAGTTCCATGGTCTGACGGCCGACCTGGAGATTCTTATCAGGCAGGTCAAGAAGACCGCTCGTCGCATCTCCTTGGACGAGCCGACGCTATCGTTGGCCGGCTGTGCGTCGCTGGCCTGCGCCGCTCACAACAACCAGCACAAGGCGTCGGGCTACACACCAGTCCAGTGGGCGCACGGTACCAACCACCAGGGCTCCCAGTTCGCGGAGGAGGCTGGTCGCCTGGATGGAGACGGCTTGGCACACACCGAACTTCATCGTCTTTTGGCAGAGCGGGTCTACCTGGAGGAGCAGGCTCGTTCAGTGGTGACTCGGCTTCGGCACTTCATGAGGCAGAAGCTTCTCTCGATCAAGATCGGCGACTGGATCATGTACTTCCGCCGTGGCAAGAACACTGGAGCTCGAGGTTCTTGGTTCGGACCTGCGAGAGTTTTGGCCATCGAGCCGAAGGTCAACCTCCAGCGTGAACGTGCCTACGAGTCCGCTTCGATCGAGGACGAGATTTCGGTGGTGTGGATCGTGCATGGCACGAGGCTTATTCGGTGTCATCCGACACAGCTGAGGTCGAGCAGTCAGCGCGAGGTGGTCGTGGCATCGCTCAAGGGCAACATCGACAGGGGCTCGCCGACCAACGCCTCCAATGTCTTTCAAGGTGCTGGACGTGGTGAGTTTACCGATATGGCAGGCGAGCTACCTTCGGAGCGCGAGATTGCCGAGAGCCTTGCAGACTTACCAGAGCAACCAGGACCAGGTGAAGATTTTCTCCAGGGAGATCGGCGTGAATTTCGTGATGGTGCTCAGGCTGGGGACGACGGTGCAAACCTTCATCCAGTTTCTCGAGATGTTCCTCCAGATTTGTCTCGAGTACCAGTTCCAGAGGATGATGATGGACCAGGCCGAGATCTTCACCAAAGGGACCAAGTCACGGGTGATCAGGACTGGAAGCCGATCAGGCGGGTGCGGTTGAGGCACAAGGCATCTCCCTACGACGCGCCTTATGGACCAGAAGCGACGTCGGCGGCACCAGAGGAAATCACCAGTGGCCCTGCAGGTGCTCTGATTGGCGATGAAGCCGCGGTAGTTCCCCGAGAGGGTAGCCCGGCAGAGCCTCTTGGGGTGGGACCCGACTCTGCGGACGGGCCGGTCGCAGAGGGCGCGGCGGGAAACCAGGATCCTGCTGGGGAGGCCCCCACTGGTGAAGCAGACGAACGTGACATAGAGAAGCCAGAGACCAAGCGCATCAAGCTCGGAGAGATGGATTTCATGACGCGCGACTTCGAGTACGAGGTCAAGTACCTGGAGGCCTGGGGCAACTTCAGCAACCAGTCCGTGGCCTCCCTGAAGGACGCGACCATCGAGCGCGAAGTGATCGAGGTCGCGACCGATTTCACTCACATGGGAGCCTTGCTCTACGGTCTGGCTCTCCAAGAGGCTTGGCGACGGCAAGGCGACAGAGGTCACCCACTCCAAGCTGGCGCCAGGGCAGCAGCTCGAGTTCGACGAGGCGATGCGCAAGGAGATCAGCCAGGTCATCGCGACCAAGGTCTTGAAGCGGATCGCTCAGGAGGAGCTCACCGAGATCGACGAGTCGCGGTTGCTCAAGATGCGCTGGGTCCTCACCTACAGGTACCAGGAGGGTGGCGCACGCAAGCCGAAGGCTCGGCTAGTCATTCTGGGCTACCAGCACCCGAGTCTTACGGAGCTCTCTACGGCGGCGCTTACGCCGGGGAAGCTGGCTCGCAACATGCTGTTCCAGGTGTGCGCGCAGCATAAGTTCAAGCTCAAGTTCGGCGACGTCAGCTCAGCTTTCCTCCAGACCGACGCGAGCGAGGAATTCGAGAGTCTGAACGTGAAGGTTCCTACGGAAGTGGCTCATGCTTTTCCTGATGAGCTGGGGCGTCCAGCGCAGATCTTGAAGATGGTCGAGTCTTTCTATGGATTGACGACAGCTCCGAGAGCATGGTGGCTTGACATACCACGCAAACTTTGTGACCGAGGTTGGCGACCACTACGTGCCGACCAGTGCGCGTGGACCTTGCTGGATTCCAACAACCAGCTGAAGGGCATCATCGGCGTCCACGTGGATGACTTCATCATCGGCGGCGACGAGACGTCGAAGCTGTGCGGGGACGCGGAGAAGGCCATCAGGGACCTCTACAGATGGGGCGCGTGGACTTCCGGCCAGGCCGAGTTCAGTGGACTACGCGTTCGCCAGTTCTGGGGATTTCTCGATCACGCTGGACTTCTGCGACTACACGAACAAGTTCATCACGGAGGCCGAGATCGACGCCGACCGCAAGAAGCAGGCTCATCGACCACTCGAGCCGAAAGAGATCTCACTCCTTCGTGGAGTATTGGGCACGGCCAGTTGGAGGGCACAGCAAGTGTCCCCACAGTATGCGGTGGACGTTGGGCTTGCCTTGTCTCAAGTCAACAACGCCAAGATCAGCGACTTGGTGAATGCCAACAAGGTTGTCAAGGACATGCGTAAATCGGCGTCGCAGGTGATCAATTTCCACCGGTTCGAGAACTACGATTGGCACGAGCCGTGGATGGTGCAGTGGGCGGATGCTAGTGACAAGCTCAGGCCCGACGGCAGCAAGACTGGCGGGCTGGTGACAGGCCTCTCGACTCCGGATTTTGCGAATGGCAGCATGGCAAACGTTTCGATACTTGGATGGAAATCCTTCAAGCTACCTCGCAATATTTCGGGCTCCAACAACAACGAGACGCAGTCGACCGCGCTCGGCGACGAGATGTTGTGGTTATCTCGACTGATGTGGGTAGAATTTTATGGAGTCGAACCGACCCGTTGGAAGTTGGACGACACTGTCAAGACCGTGCCAGGCATGCTCATCACAGATTCACGCGGCATCTACGACGCGATCTTGAAGTCGGAGTCTCCCCAGTTGGGCATGCGCAGCTTCAGACCAGGCGAGGAGGCCAGAGGCATCAAGGAGCATATCTTGCGCACGGACATTTCTTTCTGATGTGTGAACGGTTTGGCCATGCTAGCAGATAGCCTGACGAAGCCGGGATATCCGGCTCGACATATGATGGGGGAGTTTTTGGCCACGCAGCGCTGGAAGTGCACGTTTGACGAGATGTTCCAGAGTGGGCGTCGGAGGCAGCGCGACGGCAAGGGCGCTTTCGCAGACGCGCCCGAGGAGGCCGACAGTGGCTGTAGGGAAGGTTTTTAGGATCCTCTGGAGTCGTTGTGCGACGATTCCTTTCTTTCTGATTCGACCCGCAGCCTAATGCGGTCTCGGTGCATGTAGCTTCAGGACTGAGAATAGTATAACCGGTGTTAGCTATCAACAGTCAGTCCTGTGCATTCCCTGCCCGAAGCCTCTCTGCGTTGTGGCGTTGGCTCAAGGGCGGGACACATGGTTTTACATTCGTTTCACGTGGCCCCAGGAGCCACCACCTTTCAGCACGGCTAGCGACGCTGTGACGACTGATACGTGAAATAGTCATCGAGTTGGGTGATAGATTTCTCGTCGGAACTTCCTGGCAATCTACTGCTGCGCCGATTCCGCCAACATCTTGGGGCCTCGCGGGGCCCTCTCGGGGACCGCTGGGCTCGCTCAGGCAGTCTCGAAGCCCTGTCGGGGCTCTCCTGGAACCGTCTTGGGCGGCTCCTGGGCCATCTTGGGGCTCTCCTGGGCCGTCTTGGGACGATTTTGGGATCTCTTGGGCCGTCTTGGGGCGGTCTTGGGGGCTTCTTAGGCCGTCTTGGAGCGGTTTTGGGAGACTCTTGGACGGCCTTGGCGAGTCGGAACCCCGAAAAAGCGAGAAGACCAAAATTTTCGAAAAAACAATAAAAGTCAACGATTTTGGCTTGTCGGGGCTCTCTTGGGAGGCCTCTTGGGATGCCTTCGGGGCCTCATGGAGCTCTCTTGGAACGTCTTCGGGCCTTCCTGGCCATTCCTGAGGCTACCTATGCGCGTCTTGGAGCGCTCGCGGGCCGTCTTGGGCGGTCTCGAACTGTTCCTGGCGGTCCCAGGGGCCCTCCGGGACGCTTCGGACGCTCCCGGGGGCGCCCTGCACCCCCCATGGAGATTACAGGCAGCGCCCCGGGCCGCCCCCGGGCCCCCAAGAGCCTCCCCGGAGGCCCCCGGAGGCCCCCAAGATGCCCAAAAATGGCCCTGAGCGCGCCCCAAGACGCCTCCAGGAGAGCCCAACAGGCTTCCGAGAGGCCCCCAAGAGGCCCACTGGAGGCGGCCCTCAGGAGGTCGTCCCCATCATGTTCCCGGAAGGCGGTCCGGGAGCATGATTCCGCGCCTTAGAGGAGTATTCTGCGCCTTCCGAGGCGCCTTGGACGACGTACGTATGTTTCTATAGATTGTCTTTCTCCGGTGTACACAATCCTACATGTTTTACGTATGTTTCTATACATATATATATATATATATATATATATATATATGTGTGTGTGTGTGTGTGTGTGTGTGGTGTGTGTGTGTGTGTGTTGTGTGTGTGTGTGTGTGTGTGTGTGTGTGTGTGTGTGTGTGTGGTGTGTGTGTGTGTGTGTGTGTGTGTGTGTGTAAATGGGGAGGGGGTCCTGGACCAGGGGGGGGGCCTCACTTTGCCCAGTGGCTGTGGTCCCCCCCCCGCCGGAGACGCCAGGACGCTCCCAGGACCTTCTAAAATGGCTCCAGGACGCCCTCAGGACAGCCCAAGAGAGGTCCGAAGCGGCCCGGGAGCACTCCAAGACGGTTAAAAAGCTGCCAAAGCGTCCCAGCAGGTCTCCGACAGCACTCTCGGGAGGGGCCCAAGTGGAAATTGTCACTGATTTTTAGTGGGTTTTGAAGGGTTTTGGCGTTCTCCCCAGTTCGGCTTCCAGACGCTCCAAGGCGGCCCAAGAGGCCCGAAACATCGCCTCAAGACGAGCTCAGAGGCCCCCAAGAGACCACCGAGACAGCCCAAGAGGGCCCCAAGACGGCCCAGGAAGCTTCCAAGACAGCCCAAAAGAGCTCCCAGAACACTCCAAGAGGAGCCCCAGATGGGAAACACGACTGACATTTCGAGCCCTCGCCCACCAGAAGCTCCCAAGAGGCCCCCAGGAGTCCGCAAGAGGCCTCGAGAGGCCCCCATGAAGCTCCAAGAGGCTTCCAAAAGGCGCCGAAAGGGCCCCGCAAGGCTTCCAGACGCTGGTGATAATGACAATGATGATTATGCAGGGCGGCCTCAGGCCCACAACCTAAATCCCCAATGCTGCTCACGCGGCATGCAGGACGCTGCGGAGATATCCTCGAGTTCGGCGGGGGAGCTTCGGAGACAACGGTGACGAAAATGATGACGATGATGACGACTATTATGAAGTTGACGACGATTATGATGATGATGATGATGATGATGATGATGATGATGATGATGATGATGATGATGATGATGATGATGATGATGATCATGATCATGATGATGATGATGATGATGATCAGGATGATGATCATGATGATGATGAGGAGGAGGAGGAGGAAGAAGAAGATTATAATGATGATGTTGACAGTGGGAATGATGATGATGGTGATGATGATGATGTTGATGATTGTGATCGTGATGTGAGTGATGGTGATGATGATGATGGTGGTGATGCTGGCGATCATGATGACGATGACGGTGATGCCGTTGAGGATGGTGATGCTGACGATCATTATGATGATGTTGCTGATGGTCAGGATGACAACGCCGATGCTGATAATATTGGTGGCGATGCTGTTTATGGTGCTTGTGATGCAGGAGTGGGCGGATGATGAAGATGATGACGATGATGATGACGATAACGATGACGACGATCACGACGACGACGACGATAATGATGACGATGGCGATGATGAGGATGATTATGTTGATAATCCAGGTGACGATATTGACGATGATGACGACGATGGCGATGATGACGATGGTGATGACGATGTTGCTGCTGATGGTGGTGTCGGTGGCGATTGTGATGATGGTGATGGTCATGGTGATGATGACGATGCCGCTGACGATGACGCCGGATATGATGGTGATGAGGATGGCGATGATGACGATGACGATTATCCTAGCCAGAATTTGAGCGCGCGCGAAGCGCGCGCGATGGTTCTAGTGTGTGTATATATGTTCAGACTTACATATATGTACATATATATATATGATTATATGAATATATGAATATACATATATACATGTATATATATATACACATACACACAAGCATGCTGCGGTGCGTGGTGGCGACCCCCCCCCCGCAGGAGCCGTTCGGGGTGCAGCCCTCCGGCGCGCCGCCTCGCGCGCCAAGTCGAGGCTGGCGCCCCAGGCATCGGCCAGAACAGGTGCACCCTGTGGTCCGAGTGTTCGGCTCAATCGATCCGATGCGCATCGATTCCGGCCGGCCCGATCCGACATCGATTCCGATGCTCCGACGACATGACGTGGCCCAGTGTTCGCATGAGGCTGCTGTTGATCCAGCCGCGGCCGATCCGATTCCGACTCCGACTCCGTGCGGATGCGGCCCGATCCGACGCACGTTCATATTCGGTATGGCTTCCCGATTTTATTGAATCGCTTTGCTCATTCCGCCGGCCCATTTCGCATGACTGAGCCGCGCATATCCGCCACCGCGCTTGTGGAAGACGCGTAGCTGGGCAGCAGCGGGGCGAGAGTGGCAAGATGGCCCGAGAGACCTCTGCAGACTTTCGAGATTAGCCGGGGCTGTCCAGGAGGGCCGAAAAGTTTCGAAGGGGATCCTGCCACCGTGCCTTGGTAGAAGGTTAGAGTCCTCCTGGGTACGCTCGGGGTCGCTTCGGAGAGCTCTAGGCAGTTTCTTAGGATGAAGTGTTGATGATTATTTTTGGGGCCTCTTCGGAGCCTTGCCGGATTTGATGACTTTTGGGGGTTGTTGTGGGCTTCTTGGGGGCTTGTGGAGGTTTTCAGGTGCTTCTTCGGGGCGCTGGCTAGTACAGTCTCGGGAGGCTTCTTGGTGGCCGCTAGGGGAGTCTTGACAGCGTCGTGGCCCGTGTGGAAGCCTGTTGCCTATGGGGGCTCTTTTGGGAGGCCTCTTGGTGGCCTCGTGGGGACTCTTAAACGCGTCGGGTCGTTGGCATTTGCTTGCGTGCTGGAGGGAGCATTTGGGGAGCCTCTTGGGGCCGCTGGGGGGCCTCTTCAGCGTCGCTTGGGGGCCTCCTGAGGGCCTCTTGGGGGCTTTTGGGGCCTCTCAGGGGCCTCTTGAGGCCTCCTGGGGGCTTCTTAAGGCCGAGGGCTCGAAGTTTTGTTTTGTGTTCCCCCTTTGGGGCATCGCGTGGGGCCCTCTTGGGCCCCTCTTGGGCCGTCTTGGATGCCTCTGGGGCCGTCTTGGAGCCCTCTTGGGCCGTCTTTGGGCCTTCTTGGGAGCTTCTTGGGCCCTCTTGGGGCGATCTTGGGGGCCTCTTGGGCCGTCTTGGGGCGTCGGGAAGCCGAAAAGATGGACACGCCAAACAATCTGCCCAAAACCTAAGGACAAGTAATGAATTTTGCCTCCTGGGGCCCTCTGGGGAGTGCTCTTGGAGGCCTCTTGGGGCGTCTGGGGGCCATCTTGGGCGTCTTGGAACGGTCGTGTGGCATCTCGGAGCACTCTTGAACCATCTTGGAGGGCTCTTGGCGGCCTCGTGGCCCTTCTTGGGGCTCTCTGGAGGGCCACGGGGGCGGCGCCCAGGAGGAACACCATCTCTGATCCGAGTCTGCCGGGGATCGCCCGGGGTACTTTTTGTCCGGGGACCCCCAGGGGCCGCCCCGCTGAGGCTGCTGTTGATCCAGCCGCGGCCGATCCGATTCCGACTCCGACTCCGTGCGGATGCGGCCCAATCCGACCCACGTTCATATTCGGTATGGCTTCCCGATTTCATTTGACAGATCTTGCAACCGTGGATCGTAGACCAGCAGATTCATGAGAATACGCACATTTTCTGTGGTCCGCATGGATCTCTCTGGTCGG